AAGAACTCTTAGAGGAGGGTACTCATCCCTGTCCACTCTTTATTTCAGGACAAACAGTGACCATCTCATCTGGACTGTTGGTTACTCATCATCTTTACAAACCAATATTGACCAAACAGCATCCCTGGCCCATCCCGGAGACAGGATCTGAGGGTAGAGTGGAGAGGGAGATGCTGAAATCAAGATTCCCCTGACCTCATCTGTAGCTACAACAGACAGAGCCAAGACCTAGTGGCCAAAGAAGGCCAAACCCCCAGATCAGAGCCTGCAATACTTATCATGGGTGATGAAGGAGCATCATACACTTATTTCCTTAATGAGCCATTGCTTTTAATGTGAATGAATGGCTGGCAGAGAATGAAACAGCCCAGCAGGAGCTGCATGCATCTGAGATGAGACAGAAGCACAAATCTATTCCTTGTTTAAAGATCATGTTGCTAAGAATAGAAATTGAAACACACACTCAAGCGTGTGCACACACACACAGCCCTGAGGAAGGCCATAATGGAGCTGGAGAAATCCACAGCTTAGTAAAGGATGATCTAAGAATCACTGAGCCTTAGAACAGAAAAGGCATCTGAGTTCATTCCCTCTAAAGCTCTCCTTTCACACATGGGGAAACAAAGGCCCACAGAAAGAAGAGGAGTCCCCAGCATCACCTGGAAAGAGAGCAGAAGCATGACTGGAACTCAGATTTCTGTTTCCCACCTTGAGATCCATCTCAATGTAGCACACTGTCTTAGGAACCCAAGAGCCCAGAAGGCAGAGCAGAGCCAAAAATCATACCTCTCTTCTTCTGCATGGCTAACAGAAAGAATCAAAGATATCCACCATTGCTTTTTTTTTTTTTTTTTTGGAGACAGAGTCTCACTCTGTCACCCAGGCTGGAGTGCAGTGGCGCGATCTTGGCTCACTGCAACCTCTACCTCCCTGGTTGAAGTGATTCTCGTGCCTCAGCCTCCAGAACAGCTGGGACTACAGGTGCGCCCCACCATGCCCACGTAACTTTTGTATTTTTAGTAGAGACAGGGTTTCGCCATGTCGACCAGGCTAGTCTCAAACTCCTGACCTCAGGTTATCCGCCCACCTTGACCTCCCAAACTGCTGGGATTGCATTGTGAGCCACCACACCCAGTCTCACCATAGCATTTTTTAAATAATGAAAAATTGAAAAATCCCTAAATATTCAACAACAGGGACTTGGTTAAATCAATGATGCAATGGCTACTATGTGGCCATTAAAAATAATTTTTACTTATATAGGAAAATGAGAAGGGTATGTGCTATGGTCTAATCCCCCCCACCAAACTTCATATGTTAAAACTCAATTCTAAACGTAATAACATTAAAAGATGGGACCTTTAGGAGGTTGACAGGGCTCTGCCCTCATGAATGGGATTAGTGCCTCTATTAGGCTTCTCTAGAGGGACAGAATTAATGAAATATAATATATATAAAGGAGAGTTTATTAAATATTAACTCACACGATCACAAGGTCCCACAATAGGCCGCCTGCAGGCTGAGGAGCAAGGAGAGCCCGTCCGAGTTCCAAAACTGAAGAACTTAAGAGTCTGATGTTCAAGGGCAGGAACCATCCAGCAAGGGAGAAAGATGTAGGCTGGAAGGCTAGGCCAGTCTCTCTTTTCACATTTTTCTGCCTGCTTATATTCTAGCCTCGCTGGCAGCTGATTTGATTGTGCCTATCTAGATTAAGGGTGGGTCTGCCTTTCCCAGCCCACTGACTCAGAATGTTAATCTCCCTTGGCAACACCCTCACAGACACACCCAGGATCAATACTTTGTATCCTTCAATCCAATCAAGCTGACAGTCAGTATTAACCATCACAGTACCCTTATAAAAGAGGCTTGAGGAAGCCTGTTTGCCTCTTGTACCACGTAGGGACCCATAAAAGGCACCATCTGTAAAGCAGAGAGCCCTCACCAAACATGAAACCTGCTAGCATTTTGGTCTGGACTTCCCAGCCTCCAGAACTGTGAGAAATACATTTATGTTGCTTATCTATTACTCAGTCTAAGATACATATATTTTTATCCACTGGCCAGTTACTAGAAATAAGGTATTTTGGGCCGGGCGTGGTGTCCCATGCCTGTAATCCCAGCACTTTGGGAGGCCGAGGCAGGCAGATCACCTGAGGTCAGGAGTTCAAGACCTGCCTGGCCAACATGGTGAAACCCCATCTCTACAAAAATACAAAAATTAGCCAGGCATGATGGCGGGTGCCTGTAATCCCAGCTACTCGGGAGGCTGAGACAGGAGAATTGCTTGAACCCAGGAAGCAGAGGTTGCATGCGGTGAGCTGAGATCACACCATTGCACTCCAGCCTGGGCAATAGAGTGAGATTCCATCGCAAAAAAAAAAAAAAGAAAGAAAGAAAGAAATAAGGAAATAAGATATTTTGTTATAACCACCCAAATGGAAAATACAGTAGGATACAAAACAGTATATCCAGTATAGGCCAGGAGTGGTGGCTCGCGCCTGTAATCCCAGCACTTTGGGAGGCCGAGACCGGCAGATCGCCTGAGGTCGGGAGTTGGAGACCATCGTGGCCAACATGGAGAAACCCTGTCTCTACTAAAAATATAAAATTAGCAGGATGTGGTGGCACATGCCTGTAATCCCAGCTACTTGGGAGGCTGAGGCAGGAGAATCCCTTGAACTCGGGGTGGAGGTTGCAGTGAGCCGAGGTCACGCCATTGCACTCCACCCTGGGCAACAAGAGTGAAACTCCATCTCAAAACAAACAAACAAACAAACAAACCAGTATATCCAGTGTAATTACAATTACAAAGATAGATAGATACTGATATATATTAATACATAAACTCTCATTTATTGAGCACTTACTAGGAACCCAGCATTGTGCTAACCATTCAAAACATTATCCAGTTTAATCCATCAACCATCTGAGTGGGTTCAGTTATTATTTGTATCATACAAAAAAGCTGCAGCACAGAGATGTCCTATAGCTACTAAATGACAGAGTGCATATTGAACCCAGGAAGTCCAAGCTTTTACTTAGTCACTCTGCAGATTTTTTTTAAAAGATAAAGACTGGCAGGATACTCAGTTATCCTAGAGAGTGAGATCACAGATGAGTTTTATTTTCTACTTTTTGTATTTTGCATCTTTTTTTAAAGTAATTCCCCATTCTCTTCTACCTCCAGCCCCTGGAATGCTCTAATCTACTTTCTGTCTCTCTGAGTTTTCCTATTCTAGACATTACATATAACTAGAATCATACGATATTTGTCTTTTGGTGTCTGGTTTATTTTGTTTAGCATAATGTTTCAAAGTTTATCCATGTTGTAGCACATATTCATACTTCATTCCTTGTTATGGCTGGATAATATTCCTTTGTATAGATATGACACTATTTATTCATTTAACTGTTGAAGAACATTTGGGTTTTTTCTATTTTTTGGCTCTTAAGAATAAATGCCGCTATGAACACAAGTACCTGTTTGAATTCTTGTTGTCAAGTATATGCCTAATCGTGGAATTGCTGGATCCTATGGTAATTCTATATTTAATTTTTTGAGGAACTGACACGCTGTTTTCCACAGCAGCTGCATCATTTTACATTCCCACTAGCAATGTATGAAGGTTTTAATTTCTTCACATCCTTGTCAACACTTGTTATTTTTCATTTTTTTATTATAGCCGTCCTAGTAGGTGTGAAGTGATATATCACTGTAATTTTGACTCGCAGTTCCCTAATGACTAATGATGTTGAACATCTTTTCACAGGTTTATTTGCCATTTGCATATCTTCTTTGGAAAAATGTCTATTCAAGTCCTTTGCCTAGTTTTTAATCAGATTGTTTGTCTTTTTGTTGTTGAGTTGTAGGAGTTATTTATATATTCTAGATATTAAACCTTTATCAGATATGTGATTTGCAAACATATTCTCCCATCCTATGGCTTGTCGTTTTACTCTCTTGATAATGTTCTTGGATGTGCATCTTTTTAATTTTAATGAAATGCAATCTCATCTCTTTCTCTCTCTCTCTCTCTCTCTCTCTTTCCCCCGCTCCCTTTCTTTCTCTTTTTGACAGAGTCTCACTCTGTTGCCCAGGCTGGAGTGTAGTGGTGTAATCATGGCTTACTGCATTGAACTCCTGGGTTTAAGCCATCCTCCCACCGCAGCCTCCCAAGTAGCTGGGACTACAGGCATGTGACACTTTATCTGGCTAATTTTTAAATTTTTTTGTAGAGACAGGGACTTGCTATGTTGCCCAGCTGCTCAAACTCCTCAAGTGATCTTCCCGCCTTGGCCCCCCAAAGTACTGGGATTACAGTCATGAGCCACCATGCCTGACCTTTTATTTCTTTTTAATGAGAAAAATATAAAATTATATTTGTGAATATTTGTTAATTATATGGACAAAGTGGGAGCCAGATTATACACATATGATCTATTTATGTAAAAAGATATGGGAGTTAGATCATCTGAAAGGAAGAATTAACTATTCCAGGAAAACTGAAAATGAGGGTTAATATACAAAAAAAACCTATGTAACCTTCTGTCACTCAGGAGAATTGTGATGGCTGTTTTTCCCTTTCTTCTCTACAGCAGCTTTCCAAAGAGAGGCATACCTACTGCTCGGAGGGGACTAAGCTCTGAAAATCGAGTTCCCGGTAGCACCCAGGCCTGGTTTTTGGAGCTCCAAACAGGTCTTTCTTTAATCCACACTTTTTACCAGGACCATGACTATCACTCTTTTAAAGATTCATGAAGGGCCGGGCACAGTGGCTCATGCTTGTAATCCCAGCAATTTGGGAGGCCGAAGCGGGTGGATCACTTGAGGTCAGGAGTTAGAGACCAGCTTAGCCAATATAGTGAAACCCCGTCTCTACTAAAAAATACAATTAGCTGGGCGTGGTGGCGGGCATCTGTAATCCCAGCTACTTCAGAGGCTGAGGCAGGAGAATCGCCTGAACCCAGGAGGCAGAGGTTGCAGTGAGCCAAGATTGTGCCACTACATTGCAGCCTGAGCGACAGTGAGACTTGGTCTCAAAAAAAAAAGATTCATGAAGAACTTAGGAAAGAACAACATAGTGGAAAGGGGAAGAGGGAAGTCCTATTTTTTTCAAACACAGGCTAAGACATTTCTAACCTCCAGAACAATCGGCATAGCTTCAAGAGTAGCCATATAGATTTAGGTTAGACAGCTGGCAGAACCTGATAATTAGAGAAGGTAGACAGCTCTTAGGAAGCTTTTTAAAATGCAGTGGGGCAGCCCCGTTCCTGACTCACAGAATTACACTGTTTCAGGAGAGAACAGAAAGGAAATGCTTTGTGATTGCAATCTTCCCTCCTGTGCCCATGGGGCAAGGGATACTTCTGACTCCCACAGATGCAACATCAGTGATCTGGTGAGAACAAACAAGGTTTTCTTCACCAGAGCATTCAGGATCCCTGTAGAGAGGGTGGGACATGGCATCCTAGAATATTAGAAGGGGAAGGGACTGAGAGATTGCTTGTATTAGTCAGGCACTAGGGGCTCACTGAATAACAACTCTCTTTTCACTCAAGTTCTGAACCAACTGAGAAACAGGGCACAGAAAACCAACAGATGGGGATCAATATGTCAGCTTTATGACTGATAAGAGCTAGACTGGAAGATATGGTTTCGATGTGACGTCAAATGGGCTTGCTTACACTGTTCCCAGAATAAACTTCCCACCTAATTACAGGCAGTGCTGGAAAGACTGCAGGCCTCATCTTATGGGGATCTGCCTCTGTGTGGCACATAGAGGAACAGAATAACTGTCCCCTTTAATGAGGCTGGCTCCCAAAGAGAAAAAAGAGAAGGCATTAAACTCACCATTGCCAGACTTACTAATTAGATAATTCGTGTCTTCTTCAGGGAGAAGAATGAATAAGGGGCAGAAAGAGAGGCCAGGAATTCTGCTCTAGTGATCTTCAAATTTTAGTAAGCATCAGAGTCACCTGGTGAGCTTGTTATACCACAGATTGCTGGCGTCCACTCCCAGAACCCTGATTCAGTAAGTATGCAGTAGGGCCTGATAAACTGTGTTTTTAAACAGGTTCCCACATGAGATGGTTATCTAGGGACCACACTTTGAGAACCACTGTGCAAAGAAAATCTCTCCACTTGGAAACATTAGGAGAATAAGTGTTGCTCTTGACAGCCAGATCTTGTTTGGTTGCCAGTGACAAAGCCAACTCAAACTGAAATGCAGGCTGAGTATTCCTAATCTGAAAATCCAAAATCTGAAATGCTTCAAAATCTGAAATTTTTGGAACACCAACATGATGTTCAAAGGAAATGCTCATTGGAGCATTTCAGATTTCAGATTTTCCAATTAGGGATGCTCAGCCGGTAAATAGAATGCAAATACTCCAGAAACTGAAAACATCTGAAATCTGAAACACTTCTGGTTCCGGTCATTTTGGGTAAGGGATACTCAACCTGTTAAAAAAAGAAAAGGTTATTGGTTCATATAGCTAAATGATATAACAGTCAATTTAAGTTCAAGCACTACTAGACTCAGAGACTCAAATGATATCTTCAGGACTCTGTATCTCTCAGCTGTGTTCTGCATGGCTCTAGTTATAAGCGGGGGTTTCCTCTGGTATTGGCAAGATGACTCCACTTACATTCTTTTCCCTAACACAGTGTTTCTCAAAGAGCATGATTCAGAATCACCTGGAGGCCTTGTTAAAGCACAGATTGCTGGGCCCCACCCCTGGAGTCCCTAATTCAGCAGGACTTAGGTAACAACTGAGAATTTTCATTTCTAGCAAATTCCCAAGGGCCACATTTTGAGAACCACTTCTCTAAGCAGTTTCTGAAGAAAACAAAGAGATTTTATCTCTCCTGGTTTTTTCCACACCATTCAAAAAACAAATAAAATAAGACCTGGAATTGATTCTCATTGCTCCAACTGAACGGATTTGAGCTGAATGCCCATGTCCCTGAGCCAACAACTGTTGTGATGTTCTCATCAGCCAGGCTTGGGTCAGAAGTTTCCATAAGTACTCCAGAGGTACCTGGAGATGCAGGTGAGGTTAACTCCACATGAGCTATCCAGACTGAAAATGGGTGAGGGATACATAAAGGTGCTTTTAGAAAATGGCAAATGAATGCTGGTGGACACTAACAATAGAGGTTCTCTACCCTTTGTTTCATAGATTAAGAAACAGGTTAAGTGGCTGTTATGTTTTATCCCACTTGGAATAGAAAAGTTTTTTGAAAGGGTAGCTTGGCATAACAGAGTATGCATGGGTTTTAAAGTAATAAAATCCATCCCCACCACAGACAAATTGACTAGTTTGGGGTAGATCACTAAACCCCTTTAGTATTTCATTCCTCTCTTTAGTTTTTTAAAAGGAAAATAACAATAACACCTACTCACAGGGTGGGATGAGAGTATGACGATTTTCTAGAACATGTAACACTTCTTTATTAGGAAAGTATTAAATATGAGTTTAATTTTTTTTTTTTTTTTTGAGACGGAGTCTCGCTTTGTTGCCCATGCTGGAGTGCAGTGGCATGCTCTCAACCTCCGTCTTCCAGGTTCAAGCATTTCTCCTGCCTCAGCCTCCCAAGTAGCTGGGATTACAGGAGTATGCCATGAAGCCCAGTTAATTTTTTTATTTTTAGTAGAGATGGGGTTTCACCATGTTGGCTAGGCTGGTTTTGAACTCCTGACCTCAGGTGATCTGCCCACCTTGGCCTCCCAAAGTGCTAGGATTATAGGCGTGAGCCACCGCACCTGGCTTAAATAATTTTAAAAGTTGATGTGAATTGTAATGTATGAAAATTGAAACTATCTGGAGTTACTACTTTTTGTTTTATAAGTACTTTTTTCCCCCTACAAAATTGGCAAGATGAAATATTTGGTAACACTGTTGAGTGAAAGTCTGGGGAAAGACACTTTCATTTATTGCTGATTGAGCTCAGCCCATATCCTAGGACCTTTCATTTTCTTCAGTGGCCCAGTGCCTCATGGAATTTTCTCTGTTTACCTGAGGGTTTTTTCCTGAACTGTAGAAGTCCATGCTGGGCACCAGCAGGCCAGGCCAGGGTATTATCCCAATTCACACCTCCACATCCCAGAGCAGCTTTCATCCTATGAGTCCTGGGAGTTTCACCTGCTGATTAGGAAAACCCTGAAGTAAGTATTTTGCACCGTTTCTCAGAATTACTCACTGTAGTATCTGGCTTAATAACACATCCCTTTAATGGAGGCCTTCCCATCCCTGCGTCATTCCCTCTCCCGCAGCTTTCTGGTGTTCCCTGCACCTCCCAAATATACTACCTGCACTAGAATCATTGTCACAGAGATATGTTTTACTGGAGGAATCTCAATCAAGATATAAATAGTCCCTGGGAATGGGCAATGTCTAGCAGCATTACAAATTCACATGCCCTTTGACCCGGCAAATCTAATTCTAGTAACAATTTTAACAAGTATATTCACACGTGTGCAAAATAACATATAAGATTATTCACTGAATCACTATTTGTGATAGCAAGAGACTGACACAATTTAAATCCCATTAATAGGGAACTGGTTAAATAAATCAAAGTTCATTGATACAATGAGATACTATGTAGAAAAAAAAATGCCTACTAACTTAGAACAATCTTCAAGATTTATTTAAATGAAAAAACAAGATACCAAACAGCATGTGTGATACACTACCATTTGTGGAAAGAGGGGAGCATAAACAAACATGTATTTGATTGTAATCGCAGATTTTCTTTCTGGAAGAATAAACAAGAAACTAGGAAACACTCCTTTTTTTTTTTTTTGGAGACGGAGTCTTGCTCTGTCACCCAGGCTGGAGTGCAGTGGCATAATCTCAGCTCACTGGAAGCTCCGCCTCCTGGGTTCACGCCATTCTTCTGCCTCAGCCTCCCTAGTAGCTGGGACTACAGGCACCCGTCACCATGCCTGGCTAATTTTTTGTATTTTTAGTAGAGACGGGGTTTCACTGTGTTAGCCAGGATGGTCTCGATCTCCTGACCTCGTGATCCACCCGCCTCTGCCTCCCAAAGTGCTGGGAATACAAGCGTGAGCCACCGCGCCTGGCCGGGAAACTTTTCTTATATAAACCCTTTGGTGCCTTTTGAATTGTGAGCTATGTGAGTCAATTAGCCTATTCAGAAAAAATGACTTAATTGAAACTTAAAAAATGAATGTGGAAAAAAGATTTTATATTCAGAAAGTTATTTTGAGTCATTTCAGAAACATTTATTTGTGTAAAGTTAGATGTAACTACGAACCGCAAAACTACAAATTGCAATATGTCCAACAAATGTGTACCAACAGTCACCTAGAGCTTTAAAAGGTTTAGATAATGTGTTAATTAATCAGAGAGGTAGAAAGAATAAAAAACAGGTAAGTTGTTGAAGAGCCCAAAGTCACAGTTGGGGACTTGGAAGCTCTCATTATAAATAACATCTTACCTATCCTGTGAACTTGCTATGAGATTAGTATGTACATGTTATAGGTGAGGAGACTAAGGCTGGAGAGCTGAAGGGACTGGCTGAAGGTCACTTAGGCAGAACATAAATTCCAGGTCTATCTGACCCCAAGGCAAGATATGTACCAACATCCCCTCAGTGCTATCTATTAAAGATTCAGACCTTGGTAAGAGGTGATAAGAGCATTGAATAAGGGGTCATCGCCCAGGGTCCAGGCCTGAAAGTACTCTAGTAAGCAGGAAGGATAGCCATTTGGTCTTTGTCCCCTTTGTACAGATTTTCATGCCAGAGCCAGAGCATAGGGTCCACATCTTTCTGTGACTGTAGCATGACAATGCCATATTACAGGGAGGGAATCTATCAAAACTGGTTTGGAAAATATTTTTGACAAACATCTAGTAAACACATTGTATGTGCACTAAGCTGAAAGTTCTTGAAAGTACAGATTATTTTGCCTTTGTAGCCCCTGGCTCAGTGCCTGGCACATAGAGGTTTCTCAGAAAATATTTGGTGAGTGAATGAATGAGCCAACAGGTGGCCGCATAGTGCGAGGCAATGCAGGAAGTCCAAAGAAGTAAAATACACAGTGCTAGGTTATAACTCAGTTGAGGAGACAAGACAAAAATACCATGATATTTAGGTAAGCATAGGAGACAGGCTATAAATAAGGTCCCCGTGTCAAATGAAGCCTCAGCTACAGGCAATCAGAAGTAGAAGAATAGCCCTGTACAGTAGAGTGATGGGAATATGTCACCTAGATAGGCAGAGATCAAGAGGAAGGCATTCTGGGGAAGACAATTTCTAGTGGAGATGTTTTATAAGCCTAACAGCCTGACGCAGGGTATAAGATTTGGAATTAGGCCCAAGGTTTGAATCCCAGATCTACCCTTTATTGATGGGCACAATTACTTAACCCCTCTGACAAGGATAACAGCTCATAAGGCCATTGTGAGAATTAAGCTAGTTAATTATATTGAGAACCTAATCCAGTGCCTCACTTATGGTAGGTGTTCAATAAATGATTTTTCATCTTCATACATGAAATCCAAAAGTCTTCAGCTAATGGCTACAGGTAACAGTGAAGAAAGGGTGCTGGCTGGAACACTGGAAGAGATTTAGGGGGCTAAGCTCCAAGAAACAGACTGGGATGGAAGTAATGTGGGATGGGAGAATGGGGCTTCAGAGCTAGGCTGAGATAGTTGGACTCTACAGCCCCACCTATGGCCATTTCAGATGACTGGTATTAAGGATCTTGTCCTTCCTAGAATGCCGGGCTGAAGACAAACTGGAAAGAAGGAGGACTAAGGAGAGGGCAGAGGAAAGATATTTTTCTCCGAGCCTTGAGATCCTCCAGACCTTGAGCCAGCTGGAGAATAATGGGGAAACTGCAGTCCCCCAATGGTATATGGGGCCTCTCCAGATCCAGGGACAGTCTAAAACTGGATTCGGGCAGTGGGGCCAAGAGAGATCCTCCACTGCTGCCCCTAAACATCACCTCAGCCTCAGTCCCACAGCCTCAGTGGTCAGCAATCCAAGTTCCAAGCCTCG